GAAAACGGATCCTGAATAATAAGATAATTCCCTTTATTTATCTATGCTACAAACAACAATATAGGTAAATCGAAATTTGAAAATCGAACCAAGGAGAGAGAAACGACAAGCACAAAATCACAATCAAAAAATCGAAATCGTGTTTCTGCACACTTTTCGTATGTTTTTTATCTTCATTTTTTTACATCCCAAAATACTCTATCGAATGATATGTCAATTAGAGTGGATCTACAGTGTTACTCAAGCCTTTCGCGAGCAATATCATCATCGGTATTTACCATTACTAGATCTTTTGTATGACATGCCCGTCGTGTGAAATAGGATTCAGTAGCTTTTCTTATATGTTGCCATATAATCAGAGAGTCCGTGAAAAGGGCTATAATCCGACGGGTAAATTAAGATAAGTATGAACTATGATAAGTGAAATATTTCATCATAACGATTGGCTCCCAAAATGAAATACACTGGATTTTAGTGCAATAGAAAAAGTAATGTAGATGATGTTTATATTTGATATAATGATTAAATATGGCTTAAAATGCTGATGTAGCGTCAAAACTAGCATAATGAAAACGAAAAAGGTGCGCGTGTGGTTTCTCACACCCACACCACACCCGCACCCGTTGATTATTCAGCGCTATTACAGTGTGACCCATATTCTTCGATAATATGAGTTTGCTTTCGAGTCTTCCTATTTTGAAATCGAGACTGGCTCAAAGTTCCTGCGTTTCGGAAGTATGCTGGTCATCGGAAATATGCCGTGTGCCTGTTGAAGACTTCTTATAGTTCGTGAGCCAGGAGAATTGGTTTATCCACCTACTAGCCGTAAATTGCTCACAATAGCCGACGCCGGTCAGCTCTGCATGGCGAAAATAGCCATATAGGATGGCACCAGATAGACAAACCGTAATACCAATGATGTTGCCCCATTTGATTGATGCCTGTTGCGAAGTGACAAAATAGCCTCCGACCAAGATTAGAGTAGTTTTTACGTGACCTATAACCTGAAAAGTGGTTGGCGACGTGTTTCCAATGAGCCCATATGAGCATAAATTTACACACGCAGCCAATAGAGCACTGAAGACTATCCATTCTATCTGCCTTATCGTCCATTTATGATATAACACACTATTATTGTTTTCTGAGTTATAGAATTCCGTCAATATTGCGAACATAGAGCAAATGCATAACGTTGGCAAGGCTTGAGCGTGATTTATCTGCAGTGCATTCAGTTTATAATCGAGTTGTTTTTTACCTTGCCACACTTGGAACTGTGTCGTAACAACAACTGCAGTTACGCCAACAATGCCACCTATCCAACTGAAATGCATGTCTGTAACAGTCGCCAACATCATTCCAATTAATATTATTGATAAAGATAGCTTTACTGCAGATGAGGAAGGCACCTTGTAGATAATTGTCTGTATGAAAACTAACCAAGGAACGCCTAGTAGCTTGCAAAGTTGATAGAAACCTACGCTATTCAATTTCAGACTTATATTCATCAGCCCCACAGATAAAGTACAAGCAAGCGACATGACCAATGATGATATCCACGGAAGTCTGCTACGGCTGAAAAGACCTACGAATGCCATTATCTCCATCGATATCGTGGTCAAAAGAAAGTGAATTGATGTTAAAGTGAATACATAGCCAAAGTAAAATGGCGGTCCCATTATCAGTTTATTTGTCAGAATCAGTCCGACTGAACTGAAGACACTACTAATTATCCATGCGCTAGTTTTGACATAGTCAATTCGACTTCTTGCCAGCATAGACATCAACTTCACGTTCTCATCTTTAAAATTGAGGAATATATGTTAGTAGTCATACTTCAATATCGTTTGGAATAAAAAGCTTGGGGCGCAGTCGTTATGAACTGTAAAACGAGACAAAAACAATGGAACCGCTTAACCCCCAAAGAAAACAATTGACTCCAAAAGACTGTCAAATATAAAATTGGTACTGATTTTTAAATGTACTCGACAAAATTATGAAAAATAAAAATTATGAAAAATGCTGTAAATTTTAAAAATTATGAGAAAAGAGAAATCTGCACTGTAAATAAAAAGGGTAGAATAATAAACCCTTGTCTTTCCTACAAATCATGCTAAACCCTTGAAGGGTTTATGAAACGAAGGGTATATGAAAAAAAGGTGATACAAGAAAAAGAAGGGTTTATTAATCTGAGACGTAAGGAGAAGGGCACACTCTAAAAAAATCGGCTCTTTACTGAACCCCAAAAAAGGTTCTGGAGTTTTCTAAAAGCATCTAAAGGTGTCCAAAGTTTAAAAAAAAAGATAAAAACATCTGCACACCTTTAAAGGTTCTTACCGTGTGCCCAGGATAAGGACCTTCTGCTACGAAACCTTTTTTTAAGTTCCGTAGAGCAGAAAAGGGTTTCGTAGGGGAAATACGAAAGCTTTAGAGTTTCATATTAAAACCAAATGATTTCGTACTAAACCCTCATGATTTCGTAGAGTTTGATACGAAACTCTAATGGTTTCGTATTTCACCTACGAAACCTTTTTCTGTTCTACGGAACTTAAAGAAAGGTGTCGTAGCAGAAGGTTCTTATCCTGGACACATGGTAAGAACCTGTAAAGGTGTGCAGATGTTTTTATCCTTTTTTTGAAACTTTGGACACCCTTAGATGCTTTTTGAAATCTCCAGAACCTGTTTTCGGGGTATTAGGGATGATATCTTCACCCTTCTCTTTATTGAGAAAACGATAACTGACTAGCTTAACAATAAACAAAAAGAAAATCAAAACAATCTATAACGCACACACCTCTCCTTCTTCGAGAAGACAACATCGATAGATGTGGCGCATGACTAGATCAAAGAAAAGAGATAGAAATGAAATAGAGTGGAACGATGTGAAGGGCAAGCCCGTAACAGTCGACCCCTCTTAGAGAAGATGTGTGTCCACACACATGGTTCAGCAAAAAAAAATAAACACACATAATGATAGATATATAGGTATATATATAAACGAAAAATAACCACGAGTAAGAATAAAAATATGAAAGAAAGGGAAAAGAAAAACGAATAGATGTTTTAACAAATAAATCAGACTTGATCGACAGAGAAGAAAAAGAAATATATGGCAAGACGAAAGAAAAACTAATAATTTTATTTTTATTTTTCATTTGTCGAGGTGTAATTTCTTGCGGATGTGATAATAATGTGATTTCGTGAATAATTCACTGTGTAATGCTTTGTCGACTTCTTGTTTAATTTGTTCGTTTTTCACACCCAAGAATAATACAAGTCCGACGACATTAATGTTCACATAATGAATATTCATGAATATTAAAACCTTTTTAATATTACTAATAGAAAATTTATTATATACTTGCCGAATAATTTCAAAGCGATATCGTTTTGCGCGTTTTCGTCGATTTTTTCTTTGATTCCTTGTAAATAATTGATTCTTTTTTTTATGGTGATTAGTCACTATATTTGGTTGTATATCATCATCAGATATAATTTCAATTTGATTTGAGGGTTCATCTTGTTCATGAACCACCTCATTATCATTATAATTGAATGATGCTTCATGGTATGTTTCATTTTCATTGGAATAACGTGGTTTATGAGGCAAATGAAGTTTCATTATTTCTGGTAATGATATATCATTCAAATCGTCATCACTAATCATTTCATAGGGTCCATCTTTTACATGAACCCCTATTAATGCATTATGTATTGGTTCAATATGTATATGATCATCATTTAATTCAGAAACTTCCCGTTGTACATGAATTTCGACATCATGATTGATTTCATCCGATAAAAATAAATCACCTGGTACTAGATCTTGTTCATAATTTATAAGTTGTTTATCATCATATATGTTTGGTATGAGCTTTGTTACAGCTAAACAATCATTTAAAGCGTATATAATCATTAATTTTCTATATTCTTCTTCATTTTCAATAATTTGATTTTTGTTCTTAATATATTCTTGTGGTATTGTAATTGTATATAATGTGGGCTCAAGTTCACACCCCCAATTTGCACGGGTCATTCTCTTATCCAACCACTGGTTGAATGCTAGGTAAATGGTCATTTGAAGTGAATATGTTTGTTGAGCTTTACGTTGTACATGAGAGGGGTAATATCTTATCGCCAATTCATCGTTTCGCCAATTGTAGTTTTCGCCAATTGGCGAATTACTAGTGGATGTTCGCCAATTGGTGAATTTCGTGAGGAATTTCGCCATTTGGCGCACACAGGAATGCGAAAATATTTTATTTATTGGCGAATGTCATACTAGCAATTCGCCAATTTGGCGAATGCCACCCTAGTAATTTGCCAAATTGGCGAATGTCACACTAGCAATTCGCCAATATGAATGAATTGAATCGTAGCTCAATTATAATACTTCATATTTTTACTACATTACCTGATTTAGTGCAGATGTAATTGTGTATTAATAAAAAGTAAATAAATTTTGTGTGTTTTACTTAGTCAATATGTGCTTCGCGTTGTGTCGGACATGTAGCATTGAACCAGCACAGAATGCCCTCTGCGCATAATATATTTTTTATATCATTAATATCTCGCACTCCGCCGTATCCGATAGGTGATGATATAGTCAGAGAGAAAAGTCTTTGTTCTTTTATCCATTTCTATTTATTCATTTATTTACTATCGAATATTCTAATAAACATTTTCAAATTATCACTATGGTTCAAACAAGATCAAAATATCGTTTACTTCAAAGCAATGCAGCAGCAGTAGTATCGGAAGAAGCAAAACAACTATCCTCATCAACACCACAACCTGTTAAGCGAAAAAGAAAATGGAACTATGATAACAATGATGGAGATGCAGGAATAATAATAAATTCTACTACTAGAAAAAACAGAAAGGACACGAGATATATCCACCAATCAATACAATCACCGCTATCTCCACTACCTAATCTTTCAACAGTACTTTCATTAGAAGCAGTTGATCATGCACTTGATAGTAGTGACAAAGAAGATCAACATCTTGCCATTTCATTTGTTGTGCTTGAATCAAGTGATTCTGAAGACGAAAATTTCGACACTAATCTTCATTTACAACAACAAATATTAATTGATGCTTTTAATCATGAAGAAAGTGGTTCAGAAATTTCACAGTCAAATATAAATGTTGATTCAACTGCACCAAATACTGCTTTAATGCAACAATCAGATTCATGGCCAATTGAAAAAGGTGATTTACAATGGACAAAGACGAAGAATGGCTAAGATTGTTTAATTATCGGCAATTTTAGCTATATACACATGTCTGAATCACAGAAGAAAAGCACACTCAATTTAAGATGTCAACGACGTGATACAAAATGTGGTGCAGTTGTACATTTAATTTTGGATACACGTTTGTTCATCGATACTAACAGTGTCAATCATAATCATCTTCCTAATAGATTTGGTATGAAACGGAAATGTTTGAATCAGAAGATTGGTGACAGAATTGCTATTGAACCAACTTCAGTTTTAAAAATTATTGAACGTGTATATGCCGAAGCAAACTTAACAGATGAAGAACAACTGCATATACGTT